TTGGAAAATGCGCGTTGATAGTTATAGTACAATGAATTCGGAAATGGCTGCTAGAGACGAAAAAACGACTGCTGTTGGGGTTTAAAAAAAGAAGCGACGCCAAAAGGCATATGCTCTGGCAGAACTAGAGCCACATATTACGTCTATTATTTGCTCACCTTTTCGGCGCTCATGTCTGTGTCTCCAGCCCGCGTAAACTGTCTTCTCGTCCTACAATGACTCATAACCAAGCGCTCACACGACATCGGTGCCGAGTGACGCGCACACACCTGATGGCCTTGAAACTTAAGCAAAAGCGCTCGCCTTATGCGTTCTGATCAAGGAAAATTCGGCATACGCATTTCACAGCAGGTGGAAAAATCGTACGGCTACCACATCCTAGTCCAGTCTAGTTAAGAAATTTCTACTTATCAAAAGTCGTGCTCAAACTAGCCCGTTTGAAACTCGTGCTAAAGCAGGCAGCAGATGAATTGGCGAACATACGTTTGTTTTCGATAATTCTCATCAGGCCTTTAGATTTATATGGTAAGTAAGTAAATAGACTATGCTAATGTGATAATCGACGTAAATAAACCGAGATTTTCACGAGTGGCAGAGCAGAGTTCAGAAAGGTTAGGTAAGGAGCACCTTCAAGTGATTCGGATTACTGTGGTTATAGTCATATAAATGGGCAAAAGCAGTCGCACTTCTTGGGACGGAGAGAAACGGAAGTGTCACGCAGCTATGACAAATCTATCGCGGTTTAATGACACAAAAAGGCTTTGCTTCCGATTTGCGAGAAAACGGCGTGCCTAGTAATTTGACTTCAGTATGTTTACATAAAGACAGGACAGCAAAACGGACAATCGTAATGAGCAGTAAAGGGAAGTTGCTTTCTGAAGTGGAAACAGGAGGGGGGGGGGCTTTCTCCTACGTCTTTTTGATTAGAGGCAGGAAAATCAGACCAAGAAAAGTAGACGCCCTGCAAGGTAAGTGTGACGGGTGACCCTCCGAAGGCTTAGGCAATAGGCGCAGCGAAATAATGCAGCCTTCTGTGTGCTGAAAAACCAACTGCAGCGCATGTATAATCACACCACCGTCAAAAAGTAGACGGCCAAAAGGATCAATAAGCTATGTGCTGAATACTACCGATTCATAGTAGTTGAGGTATCCTACTCGAAGGCCTAGCAAGCAAGAAAATGTGGAGTTTCTCATCATAGCTATCAGTATACAGAGATCAGCAGATTGAGAATTTAAAAGTAACAAGACTACATGTATGAGTGCTAAAACAGGCGAAACTTGGCAGCTATTCAAGAACACTGGGACAGAATGCAAATGCATCAAATTGGAGGTTGGATGACGAAAAACTTACAATTTCTGGATGCCGGAGGAAGACCGATGCTGGTCGAAGTAGAGCTTTTCGTCTGGCTCACGATTTATTGGACCTTGGACTGGTGGATCTTGGTCACTGAAAGGATATAAAGTAGGAGATAACAGGGAATCGTCGCTAGAGTTGGGAAATTGGCCATTTTTAAAGTTTTTTTCTACAGCTGCCTGACTTGCTCACTTTTTCCTATGGCATATGACTACCTGAAACGCAAACATGAAGGGGTAGCTAAAGGAAAAATAAAACAGGAAACAATCGCCGGTGAGAATTATTTTCGTGGAAATTATTTCCTTGTGTTCTTGAGTCATTGAACTTTGACTTAACATATAAATAACGGTCGAAAAATTACAAGAAGTAGCCTAGATTAGGGAACAACATGCGCACGTGCAAGCACCAAAAACAGTCTGCTGTTGAGATAAGCATAGCGCAAAAAAAATAAAAAGGAGAAAGTCAATGTTACCCTGCTCGGCTGTAGACGGACAACTCTTCCTCAACTTCTACGATGCGCGACTTGAGCTCATTACGTTCAATAAGAGCGTTGCGTAATTCATCGACAGTGAAGCGCGGTCGACTGGAATTAGGCACATCGAGAATCATTTTGCCCTCGGTGTTGAGCAGTCTCACCAGCTTTTCTTCGGACATTTGAGTAACCTGTTGGTCGAATGAATAAACAAAACTGAAGTCAGTACAGAAAAAGTAATAACAACTAAGACAAGGAAGACAGTTTGGTGGTCATTTTCGACTTATTAGCCCTTTTCATTCAGGTTTAATTAGCATCAGGTTAAGAGGACCAGAAATTCGAACTCAAGTTATTTGGCCATCGAGCTTCATTAAGTCCAGCGCTCTACCATTGAGCATATCATCATTGGTCGCTTTGTAATTGCTTGCGAGGGCTCTAGATTCAGTCTCGAGGCATAGCGAAACAAGCAGACGCCGTAACCTGCTCGGTGAACGTACTTACAACAAAGCCAATACAGTGAAAATACATGTCTTACTGAGCCATCCTCCAGAGTTTTTTAGACTAGCCCCACAACAACATGAACGCGCGTTATGTGCATGAATACGGTGGATGGAGACAAATAGGGCAGCTCCAGGTCTTTTTGAAAAGGTTGAAGCATGGTCTCTGGAACAGCAGGTTTATTAGCCTGACCTTTTGGACGCGTATGGGATCTAACATCGGAGACTGTGAGTGCAACAAGTGAGTATTTTTGTAATCCAACAATAAGGGGGAGGAAAGAAGTAGTGCCAGTTACTGGACCGCGCTTGGGCAGTTCATCTCACAGTGAATCGGCTGCGCGCAGGTGGAAAATTGGATGTAGAATTCCATGACAGGACTGTCCCTGTCATGACCAGACAGGATAATGACTCCGCTTGCCAATACTCGAACGAAATGGGCCGTTCGGAAAGAAGACCCACTGTCTCAAGTCGTTACTCGCATACTGAAGAAAGACCATGCGCTTCGCGAAAACGCGGATACTGATGCGAGCCGAAGAAACGAGAACTGTTGGAGGCGTAGGCGTGCTGACACGAACTCCATTAACGGACACGTCGATTTGTCCCCTGTTATTCCGTGCCTTGCCCACACAGTCAGATGGCGCGGCCTATTTCCCGGCCAAAGACGCACGCCGTCAATACACCGTGCGACCACTGTAGGATGGGTGGCGCAAACTCGGCCCAGTCGCAGACACTAGCCCTTCCTTATTATTCGACTACAAAACTGCCCACTTCCTGTTGCAATCACAGTCTCCAGCATGAGTCCAAAAGTTCACTGTTCCAGTGATCGCGCCTTTACCTTCTTTGCACAGTACACAGACTTTGACAAGACAATACTTTTCAAACGTCATGTAGAATCACAAAACTGTGACATTTTAGGCTCACTTTTCAATCATTTAATACTTATCAGCATAATAAAGAGCCTGTAATACGAAATCAGAGGAGCAATTTCTACGGCAAAGAACAGCCATGTCAGTTATTGACATAATGTGTTGAATGCAATCGTATCCCAGTTAATTTCCGTTATTCTGAAATATGTGAGAATGTATAATTCAGTCCCTAGGCTCAAAACAAAGTCAGCCCCTATCGAACTATCTGAGCGCAAACCAGTCAGTTTTATGGGAAGACTAAAAGTAGGCAGACAAGTACTGGAATAAAATCGCACAAACCGGAACCCGGAGCGTGCGCCTGTTCGTTTGCAAAGGATAATTTGTTCACTACACGACGCAACACCATAGAAGTGCCTTACGCCCCCACAACTAGTTGGCGTGTAGTTTACTTTTATTCCTTGCAAGGGGTTCCGAAGTTGTATTACTCTGTAATATTGCTGAGTAAAAAAGGCCGAACGGACAGGCCAAAGCATCGACTGCGAGCGCCGCTTATGCTAATCTAGGGCGGACCGTTACAGCGCAGAACGCCTGATGAGTCACCTCAGCGTAAATACGATTTGTGTAGTGAGACAGCCAGCTTAAAGCATTTTCCAGATAACGAGTGCATATAAGGAAAACTCACGTCACACGTTGGCGAGGAGACAGAATCGGACATTATTGAGGCTGACATGGAAGTGGTCATGTCTACGAGGGCAGTCGGGTTACTACCATTCTTCGAAT